TTACTATCTGTTTTTTGGAAAAAAAACAAAAACAAAAAACTTCTCTGGCAGGAAATGTTAGTCAAGATAGAAAATGTTCATCTACATAAATTCTAACTTTATAACTTAATAAGCAAGAAAATATATAGCTATATCTCCAAATTGGGTGTGACAATTTGAAAGTTCTTTATAAACTTATAAAAAGACATAAGCTTTGGGTTTCTTGAATATCTGAAATGAATTCATTACACTAAAATGGCTCTTAGTATCAAGAGCAAGTAATGGGTTGCATTATAAGCTAATAAAATGGGGGGTTAGGCATATTTATACAAGGTATTTTTTATTCACTCTTATATTCTTTCTCATTCCTGCTTAAATGAACTTGGAAGATTGTTCACCATTCAGTATTGTTTCAATTATAAGGCACAAATCTGTCATCTGGTTTTAAATATTTTCCTCTTTTGGTAATGTAGATGAATAATGTCTATCTCCATTCTTTAAGAATATACTAATGTAATAATAGCATAATTTTCAAAAAATTAAATTAGTTTCTTTATATTTCACATCTAGAAAACTACTAGCATATTAGAAAATATAATATTCTTCTAAAAATACACTTTGCTAGCCTTCCTGAACACTCATACTTTGGTGAATTGTACTTTTCTGTTCAAAAAGTGCTACAAGACCTCTCACACAAGCAACTCCCTGGAGAAGACTTCATTGATGAAGTCTTTCTGCTTTTCATGGTACCTACTAATAAAAGTTAGGGCTTTAGCATCAATCATTATAGTTCATTCTACATCCCAAAGCCAGTTCCAATATAAGAGCATGAGGAAAGGGCCTATCCTGCCGACAAGGAGAACCCAGGATGTCTTGTTTTACCCTTATGATCCTTTCATTTTATATTCCTAGATTTTACATCCTCAAGGAAAGAATGCTAATGTTAGAGAGAGGTATATTTTGTTTTTACAATGTCCCTGAAAGCCAAATACCAGCTTGTGTTTCCATTTGAGGTAGGAAAAAAAAAACAGCTATTGTTATATAATTTCAACTTGACATTTCTCTGAAAGTTGAGTGCCTAAATCTTATCAAGTTAGCAATAATGTCTGTATTAACACAAATGTGAAAAGCTAGAAGTTTGTTCTAGTGACAAGAAATAATAATCCTCCAAATTTCACTAAAATGCTCTCGATATTTTTTCCCTACTACTGTCTGATGAGGGACACTTTTCCTGATGTTTGCTCCCTGTTAGTAATGAGAATCCTATGTCTATTTGTGGCAGTTTTCAAAACTGGGTCTATCAAGTAATGCACTTACAACTTGCTTTCCAAGGAAAGTGCTTGAGAGCTCCTATATTGAAGTCACCTCTTATCTTTCCCTCCCTGCCCTTCCCATGAGTGAATTCCCCCCAGAGTGATCTGTTACATATACGAGGTGGAGAATTTAGAAACGGGGCTGATTGGTGGACTTGCCTGCTGCCACTAAAGTTTTCCTGGTACCTTCTAGATGCTACTGCAGGATTACATGATCAATTCACTCCTCTCCTTGTCTCCTGGCAGCTAGATGGGAATATTGGAGAGCTGCCAGGAGGGTAGGTAGCCAACCTGCTTGCCCTTGATTGTGTCTGCCAGCCTTTTAATAACAGAAGTAGGGTCAAGTAAGTGAAATCATGAACTGAGGAGAGTATTCTGAGAATCCAAAGGCAGTTAATGTCCTTCCAAGCCTCAGATGGCTGGCAACCCTTGGCAGAGTAATCTATGATTTGTGGCACCTGACCCTTCCACTGCGACTGTTATCTGTGTATTCACTAGAAACATATTTACAGAATCTCTCCATTAGCAAAGATGCCTCGTGTGTGATTACCCAATTGTCATGGTCACACTAGGGTTTGATACAGTTCCTATTCACAAATGAAAAACTGCACTAAACTGCACACAGGGTTGATTTAAAGCCGGAATCCTCACTCAACAGATCAAGACTTTCCCTGGTAGACCTCAAAGAGAGTATCACAGCCTTGCTCCCCCTTCTTTCCTACCCCCCAAACCACCTCCCGCACCCATTCCTGGCAAGACAGAGCCTCCTTTATTCCTTGGAAGGCTTGAGAAACCTTAATAAAGTTAAGAATAATTAGCTATAAGAATTATCCAGAGATGGGTGTTTAAAATAGACTCCACCTCAGAAAACATCTGGAGAGCATCACTTGTTTAAATTAGCATGGCTACCATTTATATCGTATTTAGTGTCAGCAAAGTACTTTCTTCTCATTTAGAACGTTTTAGTTACAAAGGCAGAGTTAGGTTGTAGTCTGGCTTTCCTTCATTCTTACGGAATCAAATACAAAGAACATTAAATGTTTTTTTTTTCCTCTGAGACAAGTGACAATGAGAGCACTTGCTATTAAAAAGTTTACTGGGAAGTTTAAAAAGTGGCGTCTCCCTCCCCCCCTTCGTCACCCCCCCTACTCCCCTACCCCCTCCAAATAAATGGCATCGAGGTCCTCCGTGCCAGAGAATTCTTCCTGTTTACATACATCGCAAGTTAGTATTAACTGAGAAAGATAAATCAGTAACTTAGGGAACCCAACCAAACTCAGTAGGAGCAAATAAGTGGTCATGAATCAAAATAGAAAAAAAGAAATAACCCTGAGTCATTGCCATGTGTCTCCCAAATGTGATGTTCTGAAATAAGTGACAAAGTCGCAGCAGATAAATAAATGAAGGCGATAAACTCACCACAGGTCAAGAAATACTACTAAGGTAACCTGACTTGACAGTAAACGCAGGCGACCTTTGGGAACTGCATTGGGGTTAAATGCTGAGATCTTGACGACCTGGGAGACTGGCCATCCGCAGCCTGGCAGGCGGCGGCGCCCCAGGCCCGCACTCTGGGCCCCTGGGGCCTGGCAGGGAGGCTAGAGGCCGCCCCGGGCGCCCGGGGCCTGGAGGATCGCGGAGCCAGGCCGCCCGAGCCCCGATGCCCGCCAGGCGGGCACCCGCGCATTGGAGGACCTGGCGGAGGGGAGCCCGCCCTGCCCCCGCTTCCCTGTGCCGCCCGTGCGCGCTACAGACCCCAGGGCCAAAGCTAAGCCACGTCCAGGCCGCCGTGGGCCCCTGCGGGCAGCTCGGTGCCCCGCGCCGCGAGGGGCTGACCACGCCGCCTCCGCAGTCGCCATGCGGCGGGGCGGGCGCCAGACGCCTTAGAAGCGTCTGCTGCGCGGCGGGAAGGCAGACGCCTGGCCGGCGATCCCTGCCCGGAGCCCACGAGAGTCCAGCCCACCCGCGAGGGTGGGAGAGCTGAGCGTCGGAGCTGGACCTAAGCTCCTAGTCGAGGACCTGGGGGCGGCCGGAGCTTCAGCGCCCCTCGCAGCTGGGAATCATCTCCACGCGGTTCTTCCCGGGAGATGTGAATTCAACCCCTGAGAAGATGCTCCGGGCATGAGCGTGCAACAGGGGAAGAAAGAAGAGTTATTTCCATGGGGGAGGGGCGGGCGGGAGGAATAGGAGGAAACGTACAGAAAAAGAAATCCCATCGCCACCGAAACCGTTTCTAAGAAGTCCCGAGGTTTTCTTTTTTTTCTTCTTCTT